AGCTACTTTACATTACAATAAATTGCCAGCATCTTTAGTCCCTAGTGATCAAAGTATTCAATTACTGTACCTGATAAAATCATGAATATCCTGATAGTTACTTCATGTACATCCTTTCCAACAGTGAGGCCTTTTTAAGAATTTGATTCATTGGGTAAAAGGAGTCTTTATTCCTTAGTGCATATATGGATATATTTGGACAATGGCAAAAGCTATGCGCTTGGGGCCTAAAAGAAAAAGTATCCTCTACCTTTGTTTCCTAAATCCTTTTTTGCCTAGTTTAATGGAATTTCAAGTATAATTGACTGTGCCTCTTGGGATTGAAGGCTACATTTGATTTCACCTAATTGTATGGTGAATAGCTGAGTTAGGTCTTAAGGAGACAGGAATAGGAGTGGTTTTGCAAAATAACATTGTAGTCAGAGGTACAGAATCCCTGGGTTTAGAAACAAACGAGGCTAACATCCTGCACACTGAAAGAATTTCTACTTAGCCGTTCTCCCTTCACTCCTGTTCTTGAAGGTTCTGGTTGAGATAATCTAGTGAATTGAAGAGGCTGGAAACTGTGTTGTAAGAGCGCAGATACTGAGCAGGGGCTTTGTCTTGGCATCAGCAGCGTGTTGCCCTGGGCCTGCTGCCTTGACTGTGTTCTAGAGTAAGTCTGATTGTTAAAAAAGTGTCACTTCATGCCATTTCTTCAAACGTTGTTCATGGGACTGAGAGTGAGAACCCCATCGTTTGCCTCTAAGTCCAGCCTCCCTCATGGTGACTTCTGGAGTGTCAGAGTAGAATGTTGCTCCACTGATTTTTCACTGATTTTTTTTTCAGTAGATCCTTGATCTGTGGTTCTGTGTTCCAAGATACCTCTAGGTAAACTGAAATTTGAAACCTTGCAGTTAGTAGCAGAGTGTGTCAACTGTGTGTACCACCTCGGAACTCCTCCAGTCACTGTTGTTATTATTGTAATGTCCCCAAGAGCCAGCCGTGGCTCAGAGCTCACACTCCAAGTGATTTTCAGAGACTGTAAATAGCATGGGAAGAAGAGGTAGACAACCAAAGTTGAATTCCATTTCTACTGCTTGCTTTGAAACCTTAATTTTCCCTTTGAGTGTTGATGTTTGTTGGGTGTAACAAGGTGGTAATGCCTAACTAAAGGACCTCAGAGCTGCGTTCTGAAACTGTTTGCCGAGTTGCCCAAAGGATTAACTTTGTATTAAGAATCTGACACAAAAGTTGTTGCTTTGCAGGACTAATATTCACCAGGCCTAATTCTCATCTTTTTGCTCATTGTGTTGTATTTGATTCTGGCTTCAGAGTTGAATATATACCATCAGTGTTCTGTCCCTAACTTAGAACTCAATGTCATCAAGTTGATTTGGACTTACATTGACCCTCCACCAAGAGGAGACTGCCCGTCTTTCCCCCTTGCCCCCTTGGATCCATAGAGCCATTGGTGGATTTGAAAAGATACCAGGTCGTCATAGTCTATTATTTAGTAAAGAAAACTACTACTATACATGTCTGTCTGTCTGTCT